TTCCAAAAAAAAACGTTTTCAGTGATATACATAATGCCATCATATTTTCTGTTACATCATACATGTATATTGTTGATGGGCAAAATATCCCAGTTTTTTTGTCCTTTCTGTTGCTTTTTAAATATAAAGTAAAAACACAAATACAGATATTAGCAAGAAATGTTTTATTGAAATATTCTATATTTCATAAATACATGAACTCCTCAAGGGCATTAAATGCCACATAAAATTGTAAAAGGTTCTGCCTTTACATAGTGAGATTTATTTTCATGAATAAATAAACAGATAAACTTCATAATCTCATAATCATAGAAATGCATTTCTTGTACAATGGTGAATTATCCATGAAGGATATATATACTGCTGCTCTTCAAAGAGTAATAAAATCCATTATTGCAATAGAAAATCCTCCTCAGAAAAAACATTTTGATCGGACACTGAACGCGTGTTGACCATTGAAGTCACAATAGTGATTGTTTTAAAATAATTCATTGATAGAGTGGAAAGCTTACATATATGCAACAAAATAATTGTCTTCTTTAATTCTTAGAGTTTGATTGGCATTCTACAGGCTGGTGAGTCAACACGAAAACACAACTTATTGGTGGACATTTGATGGGGTCTGAGAGCACTGATATACTGTATATCTGGCTTCATCCAAGTGTGCTCCTTGTCATCATTGCCTATTGCTGTTAAGGTTAATCTCCTGCTTATCACAGCATATCATGCATATAGCTGTCAATACTTGGTTGCAGACTCTCTAGTCTGTAACGGTGTAGGAATCTACAATGAAACATCAATAAATGCAATGAAACAGAATTTGTTATCCATAAAATAATGTGTTTTCTTATTTTTGTATCCTGGCAAAGGTATTAAACACAGTAGGATAACTATAAAATTCATTCTCAGATATACTGATAACAGACTTTTTCTAAGTCTTTTCACCCCTGAAGAATGGTGTAAAGTTCCTTTTACTTCCTTTCAGTCATGCACTATTGCCAGTAAGTACATGTATATAAGGAAATAAGAGCAGGTCAATATGAAATGGGAAGCAGACTTCAACTTAAAACATTTTTATATTTAAATATATTATTCCACTGACACATTTTTCAATTTAATTTTTTTATACTTAATTTTTGTTTTAAAAACCAGTTGTATGCCATGAGGAAATTATTCAATGACCAATCAATAACAATTAAGAATGAGAGTCAAATAAAGTTATCATAACGCAGAATGGTAAGTCTTCTCATAATGAACATATCAAACAGTGAATAACAAAATACAACATATCTTTGGCACAAAGTTATGGGACATCAATAAACTAATATTTCAATTACGTAATTCTCAAGCCATTTATGTCACAAGAGAACGTATCACTCAACCTATATCAAAACACATTTTGAGCACAACACAATCAGCATTTCATCACATAATCAACATGGCTGCTAATGACTAGAAAATAATTGATACAACAAGCATACTAACAGTTATCATGAATATATCACCACACAGTCCCTTGCATGCATCAGCTTCAGGTCACTAGTGAGTGCATATGGTATTACGCTACTTTTAGCAATACTCCACAGGGCTTGAAAATGACACTCGTCCGCTCGTATAGTCGAGTAAGATTGGTTTTGGGCAAGTGAAAAAGATAACTTGCCCGTCCTAGAGGACGAGTACGTTTTCTGATCCAAAAGTAACATTTTTCTATTTCCTTGAAGTTCAGCTATCTTAAATGGAGAATGAATTCAATTTTGTCAAAGATTTTGTCAGTCATGTTTATTGTAGTTTTATTCCAAGCTCCCCAGCAAACATTTTGTAATAAAATAATTTAAATTTATATTCATTGTGATGCATGATCTATAGGGCAAGTACAATTTTATGACAAGTGGAAAGTTCATATTACTCCCCCTACAGGGCGTGTGCAGATTTTAATTTTTTTCGAGCCCTGCTCCAGCAATATCACAACAGGGGACACCAGAAATTCAGTTCACTAGGAACATCTCATTTGTTATGAGTCAAACCAGATATTGCTCAATGCCTACTGAAAATATATCATTCAAATGTTTGTTATTTTCTAAAACCTCCAGTTGTTTTCATGTCCCTCCCCAAAAGCAGATTTTTGTGAACAACTTTTATATCAACATTTTACATGATTTTTGAATATGCAAAATGTAACACCACCCGAATATAAGTACTTCTATTGCCTTCACAATTTTGTAAAAACATTTTTTTTTATCATTTTTATATTTAGGACTCTCTCTCAGTAAGTTTGTCAGTGTTTCTCCCCAAATTGATATCTGTATACCTCCTTATATCATTATTTCACTAATTTTCCCTAGAAATTTTTTTCAAACACCTTCCCAAAATCATTTATCAAATGACCATCTCTAAATTGTTATTTATTACTCTCCCCAATTTTTTTTTTAAAATGACCTGTCTTTCATTCACCATCACAACAGGGTTTTTTTTAAAACTGAGTGAGTGAGTGAGTTGAGTTTTACACCACACTCAGCAATATTCCAGCTATATGGCGGTGGTCTGTAAATAATCGAGTCTGGACCAGACAATCCAGTGATCAACAGCATGAGCATCGACCTGCGCAATTGGGAACCGATGTAGCGACTATGACAAGCATAGTCACCTTTTGTGGCAAGCATGGGTTGCTAAAGACCTATTCTACCCCGGATCTTCACGGGTCTTTTTAAAACTATTTTGGTCAATGACCAAACTACATTCTTACATGACCCTACCCCTTGATAATGCCTTTTAAAGTGTTTCATGACGAATGAAAATTTGATGTTGGCTCAATAAACATTTTAAAATCATAAATGATTATGATATTAAACATAACAAGGTCTGCAAATGCATTATAAATATGGCACTGAAAAATAACCAGCAAGGGAAACAATAGTTTAGCTCTAACATCATTCATGAAAATAAGGAAGGCTTATTTATCATTCGGCTGAAAATTTTACACAACTGGCCAGCCTCTGATAACAAACCTTTCTTGACCTTCTTTGACAAGCACATATAGATAGATCTATACCAAAACATCGGCATAAAATCTGTATACTTTGTCAACTGTCAACCTCGAGAAATAACCATTCAAAACAATTTACATTTTTCTGTATGAGAAGAAAGGTCACTCTTTTGACATACGCTTCATAAGAGCATGTTACTGTGACAGTTCATTTCACTCAATACCTACCACAAACACTTAAATATATATTTCTGATCAATCAGTACATTTGTCTTGATTCCCAGTGACACAATACTCTGTAAACCAAGAAATACAAAGGCCTTATGAAAACATAGAAAAACAATATTCAAAACACAACAATCACTATCACTACCAAAACTGCCATAGATGCAAAATAGGGCAAACAGATGTATAACATTTCAAAATCATCTACACAAATATAACTGAGTGAAAGAGAGAGTATAATTTAATGCCACTTGTATTATATCCTCACAAAATCACAGCTGGGGTCACAGACAATGGGCTTCAAATACTGTACCCATGTGTGGAATCGAACCCAGCCCATCAGTGTGACAAGCAAACAATTTAACCACTGGCCTTCCCAAGACTTTGAAATACATTTGAAAATACTGTAAGCTTAGAGTCTTTCAACAACTAATACAGACTCTATGTTGTAACGGTTCATGGCCGGGAAGGCTAAAATTGTGACATTTCTCAGTTCAATGAGTGTAGCCTTCTCGGTACTTAAAATGCACATATAAAAATATAAATAAAGTCATTTACACATTTTCACGTCTATTCTTCTTAATACATTTTAAAATATTAATGTTAATACTGAGGTAAAGAGTTTTGAAAAGCAGCTGTTTATGGTGATTCCCCTGTAATTACTTTCATCTTAAACACTCTACTATAACAATGTTTTGAAAAGAAATCTATCTACTCCCAACATGGATTATGCTCCCCAGCACCGTAAGTTTAGCTTTGGCGGTACTCCCCTACTCCCTAGGAATTAGCTCCCGGAAATCCGAAATATACATTTTATCCTTCCCAGGACATCTGAAAAATAAATTTTAGCCTTTCCGGCATGATACCGTTGTAACAAATGCAAGTAAGAAACAATGCATTCCCTTCATACCTACGTGGTAATGTGTATGAACCTCCTCTTTTAACATCAGGCTTCTAAATGAACTGAAACCACCTGTCCAAGACTAGATAACTTCCATTCCATGAACCATTTTGGACGACACAAGTCTTATACAAGTTACAAGGACTGTGTTGAAGATGTTTAAGGGCAAACATTTTGAACCTCTTACATCACACCTTTGAAAGGACATCATGGTATACATTGATGAAAAGCTATCAAACTGTAATTCTTTTCAAATTACTTCACTTGGGGAAATCTGGCTTATGTTACAATGCTGGTTATATTAATACTAGGACATAACAAGGATATCATTCTCATCAGTCTTAATCAGATTGATGAAACTTTAATGACGACTGACTGCTCAAGAATATTTTATATAATGATTTTAATTAATCATTATTAATTTTGAAAAAGACTTAATTTAACATTTTCAAAGTGGGATCCAATTTTTGGTGCCAGACATAACGGACAAGTATTTACCTTGTTTGTTTGATGCTGCCAATAAATCACCATGGACAACACTTATACCAGTATTTGAAAATCAGGGGGGTAAAGCTCAAACAAGCAGCAAAAAATACCCCCATGCAATTGCATATGTCAATACAAACTTCTGAGTCATTTACCTGTGATAAACTATTTAAAAGACAAACAATGCATAAGGGAAAGGCAACTATGGTGACTAAAACATGCATAAGGACAAAAATTCTCTCTTGAAAGTGGATTTGGTTATATCAGGGAGAGTCATCCTAATGCATTTATCTAATGCCATTGTTGATTTTAACAATCGGAAAAGGGTGACAGGAATGCATGATACATGCTCATCAGATCTTTTATGTGTTGCATAGTCTGTACAAAGTAATGTTGTGCTATAACCAGGGATGGCAGCAGGAAAATCTATTTTCAGGTGAAAACTTAATATTGTGTCATCAAATAGGGGTTCAGAATGATCAATCTGAAATAAAATTGGCAGAAACCTGTGGATCAGCATAAAATTGCCATCCCTGTATAACTAGCAAGAACAGAATCTAGGATTCCTGTTTAAGAACTGCTTAATTGGTTTAAAACTAAGATTATATCATGGTTATTATTTTCATAAATTCAGAGTTATCTAACTTCAGCATTGCAGTCGATGCAATAAAACTAAGCATTAAAGTCTCTTCCTCTTTATCCTTACGTTATAAGTGAGACACAAGTCCCTTGTACAACCCCTTTATGATAATAACTAAAAACTCATGTCATAAAATCGTTATCATCAACACTTAAATTGACCCGACAAAACTCATTATATAAGCATTTCATATTGTTGCTATTGTAGTACAATCAACAGGAACAGTTAATATTCAGTGGGATGCACATGTTCTAATACATTCTTGATTATTCTGTGTTATATCTTTGGATGGAATACTCATTTACTTTCATCGTTAAAACGGATGAATTATTCAAAATACTTCAATTGAAACCTACTGAAAATTCATTTCAAAACCTTCAAAACACAAACTTCAAGTCACAACAGTAAACCAAAATTCATTCAAACTTGAAATCGAGGTTTTAACAACTGAAATGAATGTTTAGCCAAAAATCTGTAAACCCCCCCAAATGTTTGGCCAAAATGATTGGATAATTGGAGATTGTTAACATGAAGATTATGACAATGACAACGACAGCTGATGATATTGCCAAATAATACTTCCACAACATCATGTGGTTAAATATTGCTGTACTATAAAATCTTTGAGCTTGTGGATGTAGACTTAACTACTTGTGTCTCTTAGGGGGGAACAAACTTGTGAATGAAACTACCATTGATCTCTTTAACAACATGTTTGACTAGTTATAGCTATAAAACTACTGGCAGTACTGGATTAATAAAAGTTATTTTTGCACATTTAGGAATTAATCAACAATATCACGCACTGACCATGCTGACTAGAGGAATTATAACTGTCCCAGGTTATGTATATTATTTATTATTTTCTTTCGTTCTTTCATGGCAGTAAATCCTTACACATGAATATAAGTTTGGAGACTGTCAAGTAAACTTAGTTATTTCGAATGGAATACAAGTTACACATTTGACATTTTGGATATTGCATAAATTATTCCTTACTGAAAGGATGACCCTATTCTAAAACATGCGAAAATATCTGGCTTTAACGTCTATAAGTTAACTTAACCTGATCTCAACATTTACAAGTGAAGTTAATCTAAACAGAACATTTATAAGTGAACGTAATCCGGTTTAATGTCCATGTTTTAAAGTGAACTTTATGTACTGGTATACTAGCCATAACATTTATAAGTGAACTTTATCTAGCTTAACATCTAACAGTGAACATTATCTAGCCATAACATTTATAAGTGAGCTTAATCTACCCTAAACATGTATATCTGAACTTAATCTGGCCTTAACAAGTAGAGCTGCAACAATATATCGTAGTATCGATAATTGTGATACATTATCTGATGATAAATATATTGATACTTCTGTTCGTATCGTGATATGTATCGTTGACCTTAAAATTGTTTATGTTCACTAGAAATTGATGGTTATGTAAAAATTTACACTGTTACTGGCTATCAAAATATACTTTTTATAGAAAATATCTAAAGATAGCATATCGTGATATGCATCGAATCGTATCTTTCCAAGATAACGCGATACATATTGTATCGTGACATTTCCGTATCGTCACACCTCTATCTATAAGTGTACTTAAACTTAATGTTTGCTCATGTGTTCAGTGCAATGAGGTGAATAAACTTCAATGTTTCAGACACAAGGAATATAATGTGGATCTGATACACCTGGTGTAGCCAACAAAGCATTCTCTATGATTACATTTTGTCTTCTGTCATGATAACACTCTGGACTCATTTACTATCATCGCTTTGTCTTGAACTGGATTCCAATGGCCGTACTACATGTACAGCATTCCAATTCAATTACTTCTGTGATAGAGGAATTCTCATTGTTTTTCTTCCTTTTTTCCTTTACTAAGTCTGTTTAATTGAAATGGTGATGTCACTTCCGAATGAAGTTGTGGTGGTGAACTGTTCCATGTATTTATCCTGACATATTAAACGAAAACATTAATGACAAACAAATTAGATTCTTTCACATTACTGTAGTTAACCTGTCCTGCCATGACACATTAATTATAGCCAAAACTTATTTTTGTATGAGAGAATTGAGTGATGCTCAACAGTTTTGGAAAACCGAACAGAGAAAATTCCGGATTATAAAGTTGTAACCCAGCTTCATCCTCACACACACTAAAACTGTGGTTTAAACATCAGAAAGCCCATGATCCTGTTGGGTAGAGGGAGAGCCCCAACATCCTCTTCCCGCTGTAGACTGTTGAGGATGACAATCCGACACTGACTCTGCAGGCTGATGATCCGTGGTAGCTGGTAGATCTGTACGGTCACACCCTGGTCTTCCGTGTTGTGCTTGTGGTCCAGGATTCTCATGTAACTGCCGCACTTCGAGAAGACTGGCTCGTAATTGACACGACAAATGTTAAACAGCCCAGGGAGAGAGGATGTGATGTATTTGAATAGGCGCATGTGATCTGAATTGAAGATGTAGATGTCGGAATACGACGTCACACCAAACCGGTCCTCAGTGAGTTTTTGAAGAATGAGTAATGTGCCATCCTTGCTGTAGAGGAGATTGTATCGACTGCTGCCAAACAAAGTCGGCAGGGAGAGTTTACTTCTTTGGAGAGCCTTACATTCGTCTAAGGAAAATACAACAAGTTCATGATTAATACCTTCTTCCTTACACTCATAATTAGCCACCGCAATACGTGACCAGCCGTATCTCGGATCGAAGGCCACGTACGGCTGCACTTCGTGGTTCAAGGTGACATATTTTATAATTTCTGTTGTTTCATTTGAATATATGTACAGATCATAACAGAATCTCATCTCTCCAGAGCATGAATAAAACAAAATGGCAGTCTGTTTTAGGTCAGGGGTGAAATCACAATGGATAATTGTCATGTTCTTGCGAGGTGATGCAAGAATACCTAGGACACTTTTGGTATGAAGATTGACCAATGGGAATGCAGAAATGACGACAAGATCCTTGACATGGTGGAGCACTAACAGCACCAAGTGGTCCTGATATGCAGCAGCCACCTGATTGAGTTCATGCCCGGCCGAGATCAGTCGCTGGAACTCAAAGCAGCGGTCTACAGGAATCTGTATTACAGGCTGCTTGAACCTGAAATATCAACAGTAGGTTGTCATATATCGTTTTGAATATGTATTATTAGTAAGTGAGTGAGAGCCATTTATGGTGTAAAATACGTATCATGAGGTATGTTGGGTCAATTAAGCTTATCTAAGCAACTAAGAGTGAGTTAGTGCCATATATGGTGTAGAATATGTATCATGAGGTATGTTGGGTCAATTAAGCTTATCTAAGCAACTCCGAGTGAGTGAGTCCTGTCCCTTAAACAGTATGTTGTGAATTTTGGCCCCCTACACAAATGGGTCCAACAACATTCACAGTCCTTCCCCAAAGAACTGCAAAAATAATTTTTTGGATCTGTTAACTACATGTATTTGAATATTATCTAATGTTCAATTAATACCTCAAGACATTTCTGCACATGTCAACCCCTAGCATAAAATGTGTCATGAAATTAATGTGGCCCCTAAAACTGAAAAACAAATAAGCAAACAACCATGCAATGACAGTAGATTTAGAATTCAGGGGTGAAAACTGTTCAAAAGAATAATATTGTTTGCTATCTTCAAAAACTGAACTTCAATCACCTGACTTCTGAGCACCCTCCCATGAAAGCAGAAGAAATGCCAAATAAAGCATATTCCGATATTACAGGTCAGTTCAAATGACAAAGATTGTAAGAGGTCCATTTTTTGTTATATGAGTTAACAAAATCCTTGGAATACAAAAAGAGGAGAGACTGTTTTAATCATATTAGGCAAAAAGATCACTGCACTGGTATAATCATGAACATTCAGTGCACACCTTTCAATATCCACATATTTCCTGTTCTTGTTGTAGACGGCTCGAATATACTGGAGACAAACAGATTCCCTGTCACAGTCACTTTCTTTCACGACAGCCATAACCATAACTGTCAAATCCATAGCTTACCTAAAACATAAAATCATACATAAATCAAATCAAATTTAGAATTATAAATCTGATTTCAAAATCACATCTCACATGGCTAAAGATACATGTTTCAAGCAGGCAATACCTATTTGCCTATATAAATACCTTTCTTCACATTGTAGTATGTTTCTGAAATTATGAAACATTAATTATTGTTAATACTACCCTGTACTGTAGTCATTATTGCTGTTATTAATAACATTGCCTTTTAAGCAAACAACTTTATTGTATTAGATGTAAAAAATGGTTTTGCAGTAGGAAATGAAATCAACATTTTAATGATGCCCCTCTGACTGGTTGGAATCTTATCCTCAAACACAGGAACTTTTATTCTTACAAATTTCAAGACCTGGAATTAAATGCAAAAATTCACCTGCAACTGGCGACCATAACTGAACATCTCCAGAATACAGCAAATCCCAAGCTCGAGTAAAGCGTGGTAATGTGACACTGTAGCCCCCTGCCTTGTGGCTGCTCTTACGATTACCCATGATTATGCTGGGGACTAACACAGCAGCAACATACTTTACATTTACAGCTGCACGAACTGAAACAAAACAAACATGGATCAGCTCACTGAATCTTCAAAGTAAACATTTATATAAAAATTAATGAGACAATAAGTACAAAGTAGTTTATCGATTGCAAGTTTCATGCTACAATCCTCAGGAATTGTTCCAACATTTAGTCAAGCATTCTGGCTAGTGACCAGTTATCATCAAAGACAAGACACACTTATAGCACACACATGATCAATCTCATTTCACTTTTGTTTGTGTTTTCTTTTCATTTGAGAGAATTATAAATCCAAAACTGAACAAAACTTACTGTTGCCAGAAAATATTTTAACTCATGACATCATGCAAAATAGAGTGAGTGAGTTTAGTTTTATGCTGCTTTTAGCAATAGCATGGCGGGGACACAGAGAAATGGGCTTCACACATTGTACCCATGTGGGGAATCGAACTGTGTCTTCAGAGTGATGAGCGAACGCTTTAACCACTAGGCTACCCTACCGCCCCCTCCCAAATAGAGAAGGCGAGCAGTTGGAGTTACATAACTAATTCAAATTAGTGTGTAACCATCCAAATGTACTTCTTTGTTTACTATCTATCGGTCATTTCTAGCGATAGTATAATTCTAAAGCATAATTCATCACAAAATCGAAAGTACATTGCATTTTAGATAAGCATAAGGGAATACTGGATTATGTCAGCTGGCAGACGACAAATTTATGAAAGAGTATTAATCTTATTTGATGAAATAGTTCAATGATTTGATAAAGTAATTCAATAATTACACAACTGTGAGAACTGTTAAAGATAGTCAGTGGGAAGGATCTGCTTGAACTTGTTTGATTGATGCCCTCATGCCAGCGTATAATAGAAATTGAAATCTACACAAACTTTAAGAGTAGGGCACATCCATGGCAGCTGATCCAAGAGTTAGCTTGCGACCTCGTTGTATTGTGGTACTTAATATATCCGTGATCGGAAATAAATTGTGAACTAATAAGGCCTATTTTACTATGAAATCTGATTAACATGACATTTAATCAGCTTATTTGTGAAAAAAAAAGATATTATTTTAACTTTGATAGTTTTTCAGCGAGATTCATAAGACGAACGAAGCCCATTAATCTTAACCAAGGGAGAGCACTCCATTGTATCGCAGTATTGCTATTTTCTTAATATGGCATGCGGTACAAGCAAATGACACTGACAAACATTTACTTAAGACAAGTAATGAATCAAAATAGTTTTAATATTACAAATTATTTAAGTATTTCATTAAGATTAGTAATATAATCATGTTTTTAACCAAATCTGAAAGTTTACTTCTTTCATTTGGATACAAGGTAGCAATAACGTAACAAAATCAGTTTTTGCTGCCTTAAAACGTGCCAAACAATTTGCTGCCGTGTGCAGGATGAATTTGCACAATATGTCACTTCCTGTTATAGTTTCAGGATGGAAAATATGTAAATGACCTGATAGTTGTCGTAGGATGACTCTTGGCAAATTAAATTTTAATTCATGCAAGATGCACTGGCGGTAGGGGTCATACTAGTTTCAAACTGTTCCAAAAGTTACCGCAAAGATGAATACATGAGATTCCAATGAAACCCAAATAAATGACTCTTTCAAGAGCGATGATTTTTTTTTAACGTAACGGTCGATGCAGGGTGTGGTTTTTCTGCTTCTCTGATGTTTTCATGTGCCGCGAATCGATGAATGCCGCGATACAATGAGGTCAGAGTATAATCAATATTACTGATTTATGGAGCTGTGGTTTGGGGTAACCAAAGACGTATTCCCGGGTATATACCTCACCAACACAATGTTCATCCCAGCATAACTAATTAGTTACTTTGACAAAGCAAGCGAGACAACTGTAGCGGAAACCAGAGAGATATACAACTGCTCCGGATTTGCAATCTTGTCGATTCCACCCATGATTCAATGGTCAGAGTATGTCATTCTGACATAAGAGTCATGGGCGGATCGGAATTTTGAGGAATTTTGAAAGGGGGTTCAGGGGGTTCGAATCCCCTGAACCCCCCATTGGCTCCGCCAAAGCAAACGAAAATCTTCAATGGGGTCTTAAGTCATTTTCAAAGGGGGCTATTCGAAACCCACCTCTGGATCCACCAATGAGAGTGAACATGTTCACAATGCTAAATTATTGTTTGTTCAATCGTGAGAATCTGAAGTACTCTATAAAAGTCACGTGTTTTGTTTCAATGCATAATTAAATCTAATCTACTGAATGCATCAAATACATACCAAAGGGATCTGTTAAATCTGCAACCTTGACCAAACAAACTTCTACTTCTCGCCGTGCTTTTCGCTTTGACGTTTGAGCGGAAGTTTCTGAAGCAGCGCCATCTGAGCCTATACGCCAAAATGAGAGTTATCTACCTTTATCGTGTTCTCCTCATTGCTTTGATCTCTCTTGCAAGTGAGTGAGTGGGCTCAGGTTTACGCCGCTTTGACCAGTGCTTCACTATTTTCATGGCATGTGAGGCTGATATGGGAGGGAAGCCCGGAGTAACGCATGTCTTTATCATTTTTGTGAAACCAAGGAAGCATTGGTATTTAAAAGCTTTGAGCAGCTATACATCGAGAAATATTGAATCGAAGCAACACAAGGACCAATCAAATTTAAACTCACCAAAACGGGTTTAACATATGACCCATTTTAGTTAAGGACTCTATTTGATGCCTCCGTTGCAGACATTCAAACCACTACACCGTGCAGGTGGTCCACGTCACATGGAAAACAAGCAGGAAGCACATATAGTGACAGTGCGATTAGATGTCCTACTTTCGGGCAGAACCCGGAACTTGTGACATAAATATCATGTAGTGGCCATGTATAAGAGAACTTATATACATACTTAACGATGTCAGTGCGGAGTGGAACACTCTTCTATATAATGTATGAACCAGGATGGCTAGATGGGCTATATGTAGATTAAATAGTAATAAAACCTCAACAAACATGTACCAGGCATGATGTGCAATATCTTTTAATCAGGTCGACCAATGGAAACATTAAAACAACATTCACATGAACAATGTTCACTCACGTACGTAGTTTAAGCTATACGTACGTGTGCACATGTAAATTAGCTTCCATTCAAAAATTTGATAAGGCGTGTAAATAAAAGATACGATAGCGTTGAAAAAGTTCACTTAAAAGCATGTAAAATATTTTCAAATGTCGGTCCACAGACACCAAACGCAATAGTATATGGAGAATGTGGACGGTTTCCAGTTTATATTAATTCCTACGTTCGAACGATGAAATATTGGCTTAAGTTAATGACAATTATTAATGCATGATGGACGAATTCCGAAAAAGGCATATAATATGTTATACTACCTAGATACTGCTGGGTACATGGGCGTCTGAGATCCGCCATATACTTTGCTCACACGGCTTTGGATTTGTCTGGTTTTCACAAGCTGTCGGTGATCCGTGCGCTTTTATTCACATTTTTAAAGAAGGCTTTATTAATATGTTTTACCAAAATTGGACATCTACTCTTGAAAATAGTTCACGTTATACGTTATATGCAAAATATAAGAGTCTTCTTGAGCCTGAGGGGTATCTGTCTTCAAATTTGGAATATAAGTTCCGTAAAGTATTGGTCAAATTCAGAGCTGGTGTCTTACGTTTAAAGAATAACGTAGGTAGATGGCAGAATATTGATGTATCTCAAAGAAATTGTTCCTCATGTAAAGTAGATTTAGAAGATGAATATCACTTTTTGTTGAAATGTCCAGCTTATAAAGAACTTCGGGATAGATGTTTGCCTAAGAATTTGCCAGTAAATATGATATCGTTTAGAAATATCCTTAAACAAAACAAAACTGAAGACATAAATAATCTAGCTCGTTTTATCTAGTATGCATACAAAATAAGAGAAAAGTTAGAAAAATAGAAATAGGTATTAAAATTATTAAACAAAATCCAGAACAGCTATACATGTACATATACCGGTATATGTTACTGATATTTTTCACTGGGGGTGTAAGAAAATCTACTCAGGTAGACAGGTAAATGCTAAATCTTTTAAGAAATTGTTTCCTGTTTTCATACCTGTTTCGAATATGTATATTAATATGTATATGGGCCTGTGGTCTTCATACCTAATAAAGATTTTGATGATGATGAAATAATTAAAAGTAAATACGATAAGTAAATGCGGTATATCAACAACGACTTTCAACGTGAAAAGGGGCGGTGGGGTAGCCTAATGGTTAAGGCGTTCGCTCATCACGCCGAAGACCTTGGTTCGATTCCCAACATGGGTACAATGTGTGAAACCCATTTCTGGTGTCCTCCGTCGTGATATTGCTGGAATATTGCTAAAAGCGGCGTAAAACCATAGTCACTCACTCAACGTGAAAATGACGTTTTCCAATCAAATTTGAATGAGAAGACCGGTACCTCATAGAAATGTTCGCATGAAGCAACAAGTGTTTGATATAATCTGCACACTACTTTATAGTTCCTTGAATGCCAGAGGAAACACAGTCAGTCCTGCTCAGAATGTCCACATAAAAGTTTGAAAGGCTGTATAATGAACAGTCATATTCGGAAAGCAGAACTGTTGCCAATTCCATTGCCAGTATATATCATATCATTCTCTGGCTTTGATTTGGCATAATCCATTACAAGACAGCACATGCATACAGTGTAAATTTACATTTACATTTGCATTTGCTCCAGACACTGTGTAAATGTGCCCCTGGATTTAAATATACAGACATACGTAAACGCGTTCACGTGATAAGTAAACTGACTGGAGGCGAGATAGCCTAATGGTTAAAGCATTCGCTCGTCACGCCGAAGACCCTTGTTTGATTCCCCACATGGGAACAATGTGTGAAGCCGATTTCTGGTGTCTACCGTCGTGATATTGCTAAAAGCGATATAAAACTAACTCAATCAGTAAACTCACATATGTATATTTACACACATATACACAGCATAGAGGTGCATGTGAACGAGGTATAAATTATAGCCATATAAACCAAGAGGTCAAGAGGGATGTATGTAATAAAGGTTGTCGCACAATCGTTTTGACCAATCAACAACGACCACAGACCTCGAAAATGTGAAGGAAAGGGTGTCACACCTCTTGGAAACCTCATTTGGGTGGTTAGCTTGCTCGTATAACTCAATCCTCATTTAGTTAGGGTATCTCCATACTACTATAATCAATACATCAGGTCACTACCATAGCTACATGTCAAACGTGTTGTTACCAGTCGCACAGAATCGTTGTCGCTCATCAGAGACATTTGATTGGATAGCTATTTTCACCATCGCGAGATTTGTACCAACGAACCAATGTCAGAGAAATTGTGCCTTTAAGTCGGGTAGGTAAGATAAACTGCCGGACAGAGATGTGTTAATATGTTATACATCCAAAAGGATGTTGCGAACTACTACTACTACTACTACTACTACTACTACTACTACTACTACTACTACTACTACTACTACTACTACTACTAAATTGTCTTGTCCATACTATACTGCCATATAGCTGGTATACTACTACAGCTGCTGCTGCTACTGAGTGAGTGAGTGAGTTGAGTTTTACGTCGCACTCAGCAATATTCCAGCAATATGGCGGCGGTCTGTAAATACTCTACTCTGGACCAGACAATCCAGGGATCAACAGCATGTGCATCGATCTGCGCAATTGGGAACCGATGACATGTGTCAACCAAGTCAGCGAGCCTGACCACCCGATCCCGTTAGTCGCCTCTTACGACAAGCATAGTCGCCTTTTGTGGCAAGCATGGGTTGAAGACCTATTCTACCCCGGATCTTCAAGGGTCCTACTACTACTACTACTACTACTACTACTACTACTACTACTACTACTACTACTACTACTACTACTACTACTACTACTACTACTACTACTACTACTACTACTACTACTGCTACTGCTACTGCTACTACAGACCTTTAAATTGATTGAAAATAACAAATATGCAGAAATTGCAGTCACTTCTACCAATCTCGACATACCAGATTGCAGGTTCATATGTGGGTTAGTATGCACGGAAAGAATTGAGGTCATTGAGTATATATGTTTGTCTCATAACCGAGATTCAATCAAGTTTAGACAGGATCTCCCTGGTCAAACATCAAGGTGAGGATCCTGGATCCTGGGAAAACAGCTGTGCGCACAAAATACCCGAGTCAAGTGCACAGCTGGCATGGCTCTATGTGGCTTAAAATACAGTGATGCCCACCCACCCCCAATTCAGTCACCCTCACACATACTACCCCACCCTCACCCTCACCCTCATCTTAACCTCCACCCCCCACCCTCTTCTCCGAGCACGTTTTGAATCCGCAAGTATATATAGCTCACTACACTTGCACATGTCTCTTAGGTAATAATTAATAGTTTATATGATCATTTCTAAAAAAATAAACATATAGAGGTCATATTGTCCCTCTAATATACTGGCGTCCTTTGTACTGTCTGCTTATCTAGACTTGCCTCTTTAAAGGATAGAATTACCATCTATCGGCTTAGCATTCAAGGCTATTGTGTGTCGATGGTCAGTTTGTTGTGTTGGAGATCAGAAGACTGAATTTTGTTGTTGGTGAAGCGTAAATTTCTTGTTTTAAACTTTTTAAAATATGTTTAATCCAATGGGAGTGATCTACTGACTCTGTTCACAACTCGTAAATTTTGTGAAGATATTGTACACAGTGTACAATTGATTTCGGAAGACATTCACTGTCAAAGGAGAATTATTTATGGTGCTCTATAACATTATGTCACCTCTAAACCAACATAGTGAAGCCTAGCGATTTACAAATGTGGGCCCACCCTTTTCGGTCACTGTATAAACTACCAGGCGAGAGAAAGTATACACCCCTGATTGATGGTGGCCAATATGAAGCAAACAAGACAAGGTGATATATTTCATATCATAACACTAGGTACATAAATTTTGATAATGGCTCCTCGCAAAACTGGACTCACATTTCAGAAAATGGTTTTCAAGTATAAAGCCAGCCTTTTAACCCTTCGCGATTTACATAAGATCGCTTTCTTGTTCCGATTACTATGACGGGGGGAAATAGCGGAAGAAATGTCGTTATAGCTTGGAGAAAAATTAATGTGGTCCAGCTTGTTTCGACTACTGTATAAGGCCGTAGAAAAAGTGTGCCCACATTGTATTTAGAACATTCATATTAGCACGAAACCAACTTAAGTGGGTGGGATTATCGCACTGAAGACGTTTCTCTCTCTCTCATTCTTCCAGGGGAGATGGTGGAGGTGTGGTCTAGTTGCTTAAGCGTTCGCTTGTGCGGAATCCGT